TTCTCTCTTTAGGGTTCTGTAGTTTTCATTGTATAAGTCTTTCACCTCTTTTGTTAGGTTGATTCCCAAGGATTTTATTTTTTTTGAAGATATTGTGAATGGAGTGGTTGTCCTCATTTCCATTTCAGAGGATTTGTCGCTGATATACAGGAATGCTTTGATTTATGCGTGTTGATTTTATATCCTGCCACTTTGCTGAATTCATTTATTAGCTCTAATAGTTTCTTTGTAGAGCCTTTTGGGTCTGCTAGGTATAGAATCATATCATCTGCAAATAGTGATAATTTAAGTTCTTCTTTTCCTATTTTTATGCCTTTAATTTCTTTCGTCTGTCTAATTGCTCTGGCCAGTTGTTTCGAGAACTATGTTGAACAGAAGTGGAGAGAGAGGGCATCCCTGTCTTGTTCCAGAAGATTCTCCATTTTCAATGTCAACAGTCAGAATTCTATTTTGTTAAAAGATATTTGGAATAAATAATTCTAGAATTAATAATTTCATTTTGGGAAAGGTAATCTTATGTAATTAATGTTTTGAAACATTGTTAATTATATGTTTTAATTTATATATAAATGTATGCTTGTTTATAAAATTAATAAATAGAAAAAAGAAATAGTGTCCTGTGTACTACCACTCAAAGATGACCAGTATTATTTGGGTGAATTTTCTAGTATTTTTGCATTTTTTAATTTAAAATGTGTTAACATAAAGTCTTTACTTTAAGGTTTTATTATCCATATTTCCCATTTTATTACAGATTATTTATTATTATTAATGTTGAGGCTACCTATCATAAAATTATTTTCATTTACTTATGCAATATTCCATCTTTAAGTATTTCCATGATTTACAATATTCCCAAATAATAAATGACCCTGAAATTAACTTAAAGCTTAAAACATTATATTAATTTTGTATCATTTCCCTTGGATAAATTTAAAGGCATAAGATACATAAAGGGTATAAGACAGTAAGGCTTTGATAAACTCTTGAAAATTGTTTCTTTGACATTATAATGACTTCTTGAGGAAAATATAAAAATATTTATGAAAATCTTTTTTAAGATGTTCTTGTTATTTAGCCTAGGTATTAGGCATTAGTGAAAATTATAATGGATAGGTTAAAATCAGTTTTTTATTCATTTTAATATAGAATATCCAACAATAATGTTGGTTACCTAAATCTATAAACAAAACTCCATAATATGATCTTTCACAGACAAAAAATATTTAAAGAAAAAATATAAAAATTGACTGACAAAACTTTAAGTTAAAATTTTTGGTTACAAAACCATACATACATACTCACACAAGTATTTCAAATATATTTAAATATGTATCATATATAGAGATAAACCTAATGAAAATGCAAGAATTTTTAAGTTTTAAAGTTTTTTTTAACTATACATAAAAATTTAAAAATTTTATGTATTAATGGGGTAATATGGTCTATTTTGATATAGCCTGTATACATTATATAATGTTTAAGTCAGGTTAAATATATTTATTTCCTCCAACATTCATGATTTCTTCATGGTGAAAAGTTTCAAAATCTTTCCTTCCAACTTTTTGCAATATACAATACTTCATTGTTATCTACATTCACACTCTTGTGAAGTAGCATGCCAGAACTGCTTGCTCATCTCAAACTGAAACTAATTACCCATTGACCAATCTCTCTCCATCTTTCCCCCTTCCTTCTCTTCAATCCTCCTGCCTTAGCCTCTTCAGCTGCTGGGATTTTAGGCATGCACCACTGCACCTGGCTTTAACACTTTTAAAAGCTATCTTTAATGGAGTGAAGTGATATTTCATTGTGGTTTTGATTAAAATGCAAGTAGGTCATAAAACTATTTTGTCACTTTGAATATAACATGCTGTCTTTATGGCTTCTGGTAATCATTGTTGTGCTCTCAAGTTCTATATGGTCAACTTTTTTAGATTCAACCTATGAGTGAGGTCTTGAGGTACCATTCTCTCTGTGCCTGTATTTCACTTAACATAGTGATCTCCAGTTGCATCTGTGTTGCTGTGTGTGACAGGATATCATTTTTTCATCTCTGAATAGCATTTCATTTTATGCATTGTTGTAGTCAGCTTTCATGTTGCTGTGACCAAAATACCAGACAAGAACAACTTAGAGAAGAAAAAGTTTACTTGGGACTCACTGTTTCAGAAGTCTTAGTCCTTGCTCTGGGCCCAAGGTGAGGTAGCACATCAAGGGGACAGGACACAGTAGAAGAGAGGTGCACAGCTTATGGTAGGGTCAGAAAGCAGTGAGAGAGAAAGAGGAAGGGGCCCTAGGGAAGATGCACCATTCCAGAGCATGTGCCAGTGATCCATCTCCTCTGTTATACCCCACCTGACAGTTACCATCTAGTCATACCATTCAAACTAGGATAGATGAAGTTATAACTCTCATGATCTAATAATTTTGCTTTGAATATTCTTGCATTAGCACAGAACATTTGCAGGAGGAACACCTCATATCCAAGCCATAACAATATATGTACCACATTTTCTTTATCCATTCATCGGTTAATGACCCTAAGGTTGTTTCCAATCCTTGGTTATCGTGATGAGTGCTGCAATGAGCACAGGAGTGTGGATATCACTTTAACATGCTGTCTTTATTTTTCATAATATCTATAACTAACTTACATCTTTATCAAGAGTGTACAACCACTCCCTTTTCTCCACATCTTCATTAGCACTTGTTAGCTTTAGTCCATTTATTTGTTTATTTATTCATTCATTCATTTTTTTTAGTACTAGGGATTGACCTAGGTGCATTTAAGCATTGAGAAACATCATTAGCCCTTTTTATTTGTTTGTTTGTTTGTTTTACTTTTGAGACAGGGTTTTGCTCAGTTGCTTAGGGCCTTGTTAATTTCCTGAGGCTGACTTTAAACTTGCAATCCTCCTGCCTTAGCCTCTTCAGCTGCTGGGATTTTAGGCATGCACCACTGCACCTGGCTTTAACACTTTTAAAAGCTATCTTTAATGGAATGAAGTGATATTTCATTGTGGTTTTGATTAAAATGCAAGTAGGTCATAAAACTGTTTTGTCACTTTGAATATATACATATATTCAGATACCATTTTCCATACCTTTTTCAGACACACCTCTTTTTCTACAGCTAAATGTACTTTAAAACAATTGTATTTAAGACCACTTAAATAATTAAGTAGTTGTATTTAAAACTAAATACAACAGTGATATTAAAGCATGCATTTTAAATTTTCTTAAGAAAGCAACACTGATGAGTATGTATTTTCAATTTAGAAATCTTGCTATTTGAGAATGCTTTGTTTGCACAGAAGAGCATAACAGCTTTGAAGTCAAACTTGATGACTGCTTTGGCAAAATATCTTTATAAGACTGACTGCTATTTCAGTGAAGGTGAAGAGAGTTACTCTATAAAGAGTACATGGCATCAGATTGGGTGTTCACTAGCCTTTCTGATGCCTAACAAGATGGTGTTTTGTTGCATTGGGTTTGAAACTAAACAATATGATCTTGCTGGAGATCTTTATTTTCTTCTTGAAATATTTTAAATAATTTCATATTTATTAGTAACTAGTTTTTCAAATGTTTGCAATAATTATATTTGTAGAATGATCCTCTATTATTCTTCAAATTAACTGGCAGTTGCTTAGGAACCCTAGATTAAAAATGTCTTAAAAGGCCAGAGGTGTGTCTCAGTGGTAAAACAGAATTTTGTTTAGCTTGTGGAAAACCCTGGGCTCAAACTCCAGTATAAAAAAAAAAAAAAAAAAAAATGGTGGGGGGAAAAATGCCATTAAAATAATAAATACATAATATAAATGAGGACTATGATTTTGAAAACAATCTCTCTACAACATAATTTTACAAATAATGATCATATTTTAGATATCTGCCAATAAAGATATGATGTATTGGATGATATTAATTTCTATGAATAATTATTAACTTATACTAGATCTTTGCAAAATATAAAAGCCTACTAACCCAATATCTACCTCAACTAGGTGTGCACCTAGCGTAATACCTATAAATAAAATTATATGTTTAAGCATGAAATGAAAAATATCAAGTTAATGATTTTATTCTTATTTTGACCTTGACTTACTCATAATTAAAAATTTTTCATACTATATTTCTTGGGAAACAACTGCATAATTTATAATAATTCATCTGCATTTGAACTTTTGGGGTTCTTATAAGCACCATAAAGCTTTCCTAGAAAAGTTAGAGTAGATTATTTCCTATGAAAATGAGCATTTTATCCACACTTTTATAAAAATTGCATTTTTGTTTCATGGTATCACACATGATGTAAAAGTATTAAAATTCCAACTACATAGAATAGTCATTTTTCTAATTAAAAGTATAGAAATTAACATAAATGTAAAGTGACCTTTCTGGAGAAAATGCATAATGAATCTACAATGTGTGTAGTCATTCTTTTTTATGTAAGTCAAAGCCACATGTTTATGTTTCTTTTATAATGAATTACTTCCCTTTGCATAATGTGTGATGTTTACTTGTCTAGATTCCATGAAACTTCAATTCTCAATATGTACATATACAGTTTTTATTTACAGACACTAATCTAGGCTCACATTTATTTGAGGTAGATATTGTCAGTAGATTTTTATATTTTAGAAAGTTCTAATATAAATCAGTAATTATGCATGGAAATTATTGCCATATATTTTAGCTACAGATTAGGATAAAGATCAAGTAAGTTTTTCATATCTACCAGACTTTGTTGAAAGAGAGTGAGGAAGGAGGTGGGAGGGTGTATAATAAGCTTCTTTTCATAGGACAGACAGAAGTGCATTAACTTGTTAATAATGCCCTTAAGTATGATGAGCATTTAAAGTATTATACACTGCAGAACTTTTATGTTTCGATGTGTTTTATTTTAGAAATATATATATCTTTCTCTTGTAATTTATTTTGAAACTACTTATACCTGCTCTGGCTTAGAAGCCCGCCTCCCTCAAGAAGGCAGAGTGTTCTGGCTTTGGCAGCACGTATACTAAAATTGGAATAATACAGAGAAGATTAGCATAGCCCCTGAGAGAGGATGACAGGCAAATTTGTGAAGAGTTCTATATTGAAAAAGAAGAAGAAGAAGGCAGACTATATTTCCATTAGGAGAGTCTGAATATGCAGCCAGTAATCACTCTGTTTAACTCTTGGCTTCCAAATCTCGTCAAATGCAGTTTTTGATTTTTTTTATTTTAAGTAGGCAATTCATTTCTAAAGCTAAGGTTAAAGTAACAAATGCATCATAAACATTTTTATTCAAGTTGTGTGCCATACACTAAAATGAGCCAGTGTGTGTACAAGTGCTTAAAAACTCCTACAACATAAGGTCTATACAGTTATAAATATCAAAACAAAACATGATAATTAACTTGACTCTTAAACCTCGCTCATACATTTCACACTTGTTTCCTTTAGTGCCTGACTTGAGAGATTGTGACTTTAGGGCAACAGCTTTACCCAGCTCATTCTAATCTTGAAGTTTCACATTTGAAACACTATGTAACTGAAAAGGTAATGTATAAATACCAAAAAATACATACCTTGAATTTCCACTTCTGTTTATTCACAGCTCTGCTGAATGACATAGATTTGTAATTCCAAGTCAATAAGAGGATAACCATTGGTTATGCCACTAGATGGCAGAGAAAGATCAGAGAATCCTCATTATATACTCAAAATGTATACATAGTACGCTTTAAAGTCTTACTTAATTGCATATATATAATAATAGTTTCACTATCCTTTTAACCAATAAGAAAATGTGCTTTATAAAGAATTTGTTAAACATATCATTTCAAATAGAGGATCTTATACTTTCTTTATGATATATAGATATATATGTATACATATATATGTATATATTTATATAATATATAAAACATTTTTGATACATTCACACAGTGTGTGTTGGTTTATATGTGTGTGTATGCATGCTAGCAAGTTTTGTTTTCTGTGTATTACAACATTTAAGGAAAAAAAACATAAAAAGCAACATTATGACATCTCACATACATTCACAATTCTGTTTCTCTTTAAGTCTTATGTTTATATAAACTCCAACAAGATACAATTCAATATAACTATTACTATGTTCATAAACTTTAATACTATCCTTTCACATATAATTCTATAAATGAATGCATTAATATAATTATGTATTATAATAAAGTTGACTACTGATAACCAAATTTTCTTGATTGATATTTACATTATTTTTTAGAAAATTACTAATCAATCAAAGATTCCAAATAGTGACAGATCTTTGAAGGAGTTTTTAATTTTCATATTTAATGAACTGGTTAAAGAATAGAATATTTTTTCTCATCATTCTTAATCTTAACCAAGGAGTGATAAATTTTTGTTTACACAGAAATTTAATGAAAGCATTAGACTGAACAAGTACTCTTCAATCCAGTTTTGCCTTTGAAACTGATATGCTCTGCATTCCTTAATAAGTCAACTCCTACATGCCAACCAATAAGTGAAAAGAATCTGTGACCTAAAATCCTTATGAAGGAGAGGAGAAAGACTTTATAAGTAAGTAAGTTATTTTTTAAAAGTTGCCAGTTTTTCAAAAAGTTCAGATGAAATATTGCTATGATTTAATTTTAGAGGTTCATAGCTTTTCTTGTTTACTTTTTTGAATTTTTATAGAGTTCTTCTTACATTCCATTTTTTTCTGATTGATCTCATCCATTCCTAATTTCTCCCTTCAACTTTATCACCAATTACTTCTCCTCCTTCATTTCCTCTCCATCAATCTAGATGAGATATAAACAAATCACAAAGTTATGATTTTAGCAGTAGGTGATATAGGAGTGGGGATTAGAAGTTGCTCTGTTTTTCTGAACTACTTGGGAAATAGGAAAAATCAGGCTTATGTACTTAGTGTGGATTTAGCATGACTAAAGCAGACTAGATCTAAGGAAAACTCTCAGTAGCTGAGTTGCCAAAGCAGAGATTTATAATTCGTTGTTAAAATTTCTAAAACAGGTTATCATGTGCTAAACTATCAATAATCCCATGCAAAGTAAATAAATAAGAGTTAACTGTTTAAATTCTTGATTCTGTGCTCACTTGGTAGGAAACTTGTTTTTAAACCTATGATTACAAAACATTGAATACTGTTTTCAATTATAAAAATACAGTATGTTTGCAACAGTGATGTAGTAAGAGTTTCTACCATCCCTGTTTTCCCCTTGCCATTGTTAAACAAGTGTTAAAAAGAAAGCATTTATCTTCCCTAATGAGAGTACAAGAACGTTGTGGGCTGAGGCAATATCTGAGATATTTTAAATTTCTAGATTTGTATCCCACAGGCTTTTAATAAATATTTTGGATTCATTGATTACCTTGTCCAAAAGCTTGACAATAAAAGTTTTCCTTAACTATGTCACCTATAGGCTAAAATGATTTGCAATTATGTTGCAGGAATCTTTTTTATTATTATTATTATTTAGGAACCAGGTTAAAGAAGCAATTAGGATTCTTAAATCAAGAAAAGTAGTAAACCTCACATTTTAGTGGGGGGCATATGTTTCTTAATAGACACTGATATGCAATCTATTTTTCCTAATATTTTGTCTTTGCTCCTTTAATGTATTTAGCTTGCTCCTCTAATTGTCCTGGGAAAATTAATCCTTACCACATATCAAATTTGCCAACAGCTGGAAACACTCTCCTAATTCCTTCATCTCAAAGGGAGTACTTTCAGTGAGGAGAAACCATATTATAATCTAGTTAATCTTTTCCTAAAAGATCTATCCAGGGTGTTACTTTCGTGAGAAAAATAACTACCACCTTCTATGGATACTGTTTTAATTTTTCCAGACAAAATAAATTTTGAGAGACTTGAAGAAAGTAGAAAGGAAAATTCAACAACTTAAGACCCTCATTTACACAATTATCCTATTATACACTGAATATGTGCTGCTTTTTTTTTATTATTAGGATTGAGATTAGCTGGAAGTTAACTACAAACTTGCCATTTGAAAAAGATTTTCTATTTGAAAAACGTCTTACCCTCCTTTGCAATGAGAGCATCATCAAATTGAAAAAATGTATTCTTAGCATCCAACTTAAGTTTGACCTCAAGAATTTTCTTTACTATTCTTCACATATGCGCTTATCATGAGTATGAAACTATATGCAAGATTTTCCTATGCCAATGATTAAGAGAAATAAAATATTTCCCCTTCTATTTTATATCATTTTATTAGGATATTTTCTTACAGCTCAAACCATTGCCAGAAAAAATACTGATGGTAAGCCAGTATGTTGTCAATAGCATTCATAATTGATTGTCCCACACTTGGGTCCCCACTTGATTCCCATGCTATATACAGAAAATATGGTAAATATTGCCCCCCAAATTTTTGTCTTTTAATTTTCTATTTCATTTCATACATTCATAATATCTTCTATCTCTTGACTTTCAAGGATATTTCTAATTCCAATGAATGCCAACCCATTTGTGTTACTTCCCATATAAAATCTTCTACTTAGTTAAACAATAACAGCATCATTATGGCTTAAATATCTAATTTTAGTAGGTGAAATCTAGGAGTGACTTGACTCTCATAGAATATTAACAATGTACACATGACTCTACTAAATGTTGCAGGAAACATTAAGGAACTATAGGGTAAGGTCCTTCGCCACACAGAGCTTAAAGTTCAATATGATTATCTTAGGAGAAGAAAGTCATTTCTCTTATTTTGTTGTCTGTCCTGCCAAGTCTTCCTTGGTTGTTGAGAAATTGTATGGTTTCTGTCCAAAATGTTTTGCTACACAATCAGCATAATTTTTTTTTTTCAGTCTGAAGAGGATCTCTACATGCCCCTGTAAGAATAGCTCCAGGACATATAGATCAACAGTTTCTTGCTGTTTGTGCCCTTCAGAGAAGAAATGGAAAGGGTCACCAACCTCATAGTGAGCATCTATTAAACACAAAGTCAATCTGTCTGGTTGTTAACAGTTTATGATATTTGCTGTTATATGAGCTGGCCAAAAAGGCTTACCTTGCTCCTGTCCTTGTTGCCATTCATTTGATATCTGCCATATGGTGAAAGGAGAAGCCTGAAATTTTAAAATATCAATGGTTAGGACATTTCTTCTGTCTTTTCCATCAAGCTCACTGCTGAATTTGGGGAAGGACAATCTTTTGTTGAAAGGAATTTTTCCCTGCAGACTAATCTGTCATCCCTCTCCTTCAGGTAATAATGACAGTAGCTCCTTTCCCCCAGTGATTGTTACCAACAAAACATCTCTTCCTAAAGCCTCTTGGGGATATTAGAGGCACTATAAGCCTCTAATAGTAATGAACTCAATTCATTACTTAATTGAGGATAGTAATGAACTTAATTCTGATTTCTGGAAATCTTAACTCATTACCATTTTCCTTCTTATCTATACTTCCTTTCTACTAAATCTACTCCTTCCTTGCAGAATTGTATTTGGAAATTAACCTACCACAGTTCCTTACTTCTGATAGTAACTTTCCCTTCCTAAGTCTCATCTTAGAGGGAAAGGAGAGAGATTGAGAATCCCTGCTGCTCTTCTGTCTTCTAGCATTAATTCACATGCACTACCCTAGTTCTATCCTCAACTGCCTCTTGAGATGAATTGTGGGCCCTAGTAACAGATGGGTACACAGATAGACTGTCATTCTGTACTTAAGCTTGAGTTAACCAAGGATGGAAAATCTTTCCAAATATGTCTGAGAGTATTAAAAATGTGGCTCTTTCATGCTTGAATAACTGAAAAGTAGCCAAAATACTTCTATCTTTAAAAAAATCAGACTGAGAACAGCATGATAAATTTGACTCAAAAATTAATTTATTCAAATGATTATGGAGCATTTGAAATCAGGAAATTTAAATAACAAATGCCTCCTGAGTGTCTGCAGTATCATTGTTTTCTTACAAAGAAAAAACTTCAAGAAAACACATGAGAAAATAAATGATATCCTATTAATTATAACAGTTGTCCAGATGAAGGTGCAAAGGGAAAGGAAAAATTTATTTCCATATTTGCACCTATCCCTTTACACCTTCATCAGACTCTTATTC